CGGACCACTAATATGAATTTTGACTGACGGTGGCTTGCTGACGTTGGTGGGAAAGTCGGTCCCATATTCCAGAGCTGCATTAGTCACAGGACTGGCCCTTTGGTCATCCTGGAGCAGCTGCTCCTCCACCCGGGGGCACCGACCTGCCATGGACTGGAGGAGCTGCTGTGAGATGACCAAAGGGCCAGCCTTGTGACTACTGCAGCTCTGGAATATGGGACCGACTTTCCTACCAACATCAGCAAGCCACCCCGTGGCGGATTTCCCTCCCGCGAAATTGGTCTTACCTTCCAGTTCCAGCTTGTGTGGCTCTACTCAAGGTAAGGTTTGCGCTTGGCTGAAGGCCGGGGCCCAGGAGGCCATGTGGGAGGCACCGCCTTGTGTTCCCACACAGCTTGGATTAATTGCTTGGGGAAGGTTGCTTTGGGGGAGATATTTCTCTACGGACCACCAAAATTTTCTTGCGGACCACTGGACTAGATGATCTACAAGGTCCCTTCCCTCTCTGTTCATCTGTTAGATCTTTTTTTTTACCTATTTACACTCGTATTTCTACCTAGGGTAAATTCATCCGAATTCATTTTGGGGCGACAGGCAAGTTGGCATCCGCTGATATCGAGACGTGTAAGTCACCCTGGTTAATAAAACTTGCATTTGTCCGTCTGTCCGTCTTCTTTCCCAGGCCCATGTCCAGCCAAATGGGCTCCTAATTTTAGCAGTTGCAAACGTGGTTTAGATATCTATGGAAATTCTCCATCATCCAAGTCACCTTGTCCCAAAAGTGCTTTTTTTTTTCCTCCTTCCGAGAGACAACTGGACTTTCTTTGAAGACTTTTCGCTTCTCATCCGAGAATCAAGATCACGTGAAGTATTAGCACTGCTTTATAAATCCCTAGTGTAGAAACTGAGCACCCACCCCTCTCCTAGAAGAATGAAATTCTTTGGGAAAGATTATAAAAGGCAGAATATTATATTTCCCTAAAGGAGAAACATGCTCTTGGAAAGCCACCTTTCTCAATAGCCCCAGCAGGACTGGGCCAGCTATCTACAAGACAAAAGCCCTTCAACTCCAGGATAATTGGATGATCCTTCAGGGCAAAGCCATTCAGCCGCAATAGGAACTTCATTGCATCATCCCAGCAAGTAATTTTACTACCGGTTCTGTGGGCATGGCTAGGTTGGAGTGTCTAGGTGGGCGTGGCCATGTGACTGTGTGGGCGTGGATTTTTTGTGTGTGTGTGTGCAGCACCTCACTTGCTCCGTTTTTTGTTTACCTCCTGGGCCTCAGGGAAGCCACCTGGGAGGCCATTTTTGCTGAGGGGGCGCACAGCACACACACACACACACACACACACACACACACACACACACCTTTTTGCCTCCTGAGCCTCAGGGAAGCCTCCTAGGCGAAGCACTAAGACAACAAGGGGGATCCTGATCATCGGGACAGCTGATTGTCGGGAGGAAAAAGAAAGAAAGAAATACCTGTTTGGCCGAACAGTAGCATTTTTTTTATTACTGGTTCGTTTGAACCAGGCTGAACCAGTAGGATCCCATTACTGCATCAGCTCAAGTTTCAATCAAGCTTGACTCAGAAAACCTACAAATTTAGCTATGACCTCTGCATAGCCCCATGGTTGTCTGGCAGCAACCAATAGAATACACGTCCTTGCCACAGGAACAGGAAGCTCAAGGGCAAGGCCCAAGAGAGGGTATAAACAACATTCACTCTCCAGTCCATGTGGTCAGCTGCCCAGGATCTCAAACCCCTCTGTGGTCCTGTTCACCAATAAACCATCTTTCCAATCAGCCTCCACATTTCCTGTGTCTTTCTCCCCACTTGGAAACCAACCAGATGGATATTTCTTCCAACACTAGTAAGACCACAGCTGGAACACTGCGACCAATTTTGGTCACCATACTAGGTAGGAAGAACAAAACACCCCAGAAGACAAACTCAGGATCCAAAAAGATCCGGACAAACTTGAACAATGAGCCCTATTCAACCAAATGAATTTCAATGAGGAGAAAAATAAAAATTTTATATTTGGGCAGGAAAAATCAAAGGTATAAGTATAGATTAGCCAAGACCTGGCTCAAATGTAGTAACTATGAGAGGGACCTTGGAGTCCTAAGTGGATGATTATTTAAACAAGAGCAGCAGCCAAAAACGCTAATACAATCCTGGGTTGCATAAACAGGGGCATAGAATCAAGATCGTGTGAAGTATTAGTGCTACTTTATAAAATCATCATAAGACAATATCTGGAATGCTGTCTGCAACTAATTTTGGCCACCATACTACAAAAAGGATGTTGAGACTTTTTCAAAAAGTTCAGAGAAGAGCAACTAACAGAATTAAAGGCCTGGAGACAAAAAAAACCACGAAGAATAGCTGCAGGATTTGGGTTTGGCTAGTCTAGAGAAATTAAAGACAAATTAGGGGCGACATGATTAGCAGTATTCCAGTATTTGAGAGGCTGTCCCCAAAGAAGAGGGGGTCAAATTATTCTGCAAAGCACCAGAGGGCAGGACAAGCAATCATGGTTGGAAACTTAATAAGAGACTAGCAACCTGGAATTAAGGAGAAACTTCCTAACAATGAGGACAATTAACCAGTGGAACAGCTTGCCACCAGAAGTTGTGAATACTCCAACACTGGAGGTTTTTAAGAAGAGTCTAGACAGTCACTTATCTGATATGGTTTGGGTTTGACAAACCCAATCTAGCTGAGCAAAATTGACTTATATACTAGAAAATGGAGACTCAGAAGAAGAAGAAAGACAGAATAGAAGATGGATGAGGTCAACAAGGAAGGGCTATAAATGATTCCCAGAGACAATAAAGATGAGGAGCACCTGCTAGCAGGAATCCCCTTGTACTCAATAAACCCTAATTAATTGCTCATCTGTCTGTCTTTCCATCCAATCTTTAACTTCCCTTTCCAAATTTTTCATCCATTGCTTGAGGGCTTCTGTTGACAGATGCTTTTTTTTCTTCTTTATAATGAACCATTTCTTTGTATCTGATTCCAATCTTGTTCGTCTTTTGGGTTTTTTCCTTCTTCTTCTCATGTTTACACAACCTCTGTTATATTTCTCTTTTCTGTCTCTCTCTCTCTTTTTTTAGATCTCTTAGAGAAGTCTCGGGTGATTTTTCAGCTGAAATCTGAGAGGAATTACCACATCTTCTATCAGATTTTGTCCAACAAGAAGCCGGAACTTCTGGGCAAGTTTATATAGTTCTTTTGGGGGGTGGGGGAATAGAAACAGGGCGTATACAGATTTACAAACATCTGTTTAGTGACCATTACAATGGCACTGAAAAAAGGGGCTCAAAATACCATTTTTCCACACTTATGACCGTTGCAGCGTTCCCATGGTCACTTGATCAAAATTTGGGCACTTGGAAAGGAAATAGGAAAGGAAATAAGGAAAACCTATACAAGATGTTTTACAGGTGGCACCTCCCCACAGCAAGGCTTGCCAAAATGTACAAAAATTTATCCCCAAAATGTTGGAAGTGCAAGGACTTACCAGGTGTGTTCTGCCACATGCGGTGTAACTATGCAAGAAAATACTGGAAATTGATACAGACATGGGTGGGGCAAATGGTGGGATAGCACATTCCGTTTAAACCAGGAGTGGGATTCAAATTTTTCAACAACCGGTTCTGTGGGTGTGGCTTAGGTAATGGGTGTGGCTTAGTGGTCATGTGACTGGGTGGACATGGCTTGGTGGTCATGTTATTGGCTGGGTGTCGCCAACTCAATATCACTCACATCGAGGCATGCATCTCCTCGCCTGGCCTCTCATGACTGTGGGGATGCTGCAATAGTCGTAAGTGGGAAAAATGGTCATAAGTCACTTTTTTCAGTGCCATTGTAACTTTGAATGGTCACTCCACACCAGCAAAGGAGGGAAAAAAACTCCAGAGAAGTTCCAGAGAGAGGAAGTCTAGTCCTGCCAAGAATGTAATAATGGTTAACGGAGAGGCAGTTTCTGTAAGCAACACCAGAATGTTTCCTTCCTGCCTTCCTTACAGGATTAGGCCAGTAATTTCTTGTAACAACCAGTTCTCTGAACTGCTTAGAATGTTAACAACCAGTTCTAGAGAATAGATGCGAACTGGTAGAATCCCACCCCTGGTTTAAACCGGAATTATTTCTCTTGGGGATAATGACAGAAGGTTATAGGAAAGGTGTAGCATATATAATTATACATGTTTTGACAGCGGCGAGAATGATATACGCCCAATATTGGAAGAATGAAATCATACCACCAGTAAGAGAATAAGGAAAATAATGGCTTGTTCAGGATTGGACAAGCTAACCTTAGACTTGAAAAATAAGGGGGAAATCAGATTATTATTATAAAGCTTACAATAAGCTTTATCAGTGGGTTACAAAAAAGAAAGGAAGGTCGGAACAAAAATAGCCAGGATGAATAGAACCAAAAAGCAAATACTGTATCAATAATATGAATGTTAATGGTTTAGCAATATCTTTGCATGTATGGCAAATGTAACGCCAAAATGGCTGCACTGTAGTTGTACACCTGCAGTTGTAAACAATAAAAAATATATATTAAAAAAAATTTGGGCACTTGGTAACTGACTCAGAGTTATGACGATCAGAATGTCCCAGGGGTCATGGGGTCTCCTTTTGTGGACCTTTTGATGAGCAAAGTCAATGGGGAAACCAGATTTACCTAACAACGGTGTGAGTAATTTAACAACAGTAATGTGTCAAGATTCTGATGGATGTCCTAATTAAACCATGAGCCTCGAGCCAAGTTTCAAAAGAAATCCAGTTATTTATTAGGAGCAACATGTCTGCACATATGCAAATGAAGTCAGCTCTGCCTGATGTAATTTATGGCCCATCTATGACCCTGTTTCCCCCCTCCTCCCAAGGTGTGTCATAAATCACATTCTCCAATGGAGCACTTTCGTGGGCTATAGAAATCATGACTCCTCTCTGGTTAGTCCCGGTAGCCTGAGATACAGCCTTGAAGAAGATATGTGTGGAATGTGCTTCTGGTTGTGGCTGCTAGGTTGCTCCATCAGTTCCTCCCCCTCCTGCCTATGGCAACTTGAGAACAGGCCAGGAATGCTTTAGGAGTTGACACAGTGATTCACTTAACAACTGCTGTAAGAAAGGTTGTAAAATTCACTTAACGAATGTCTCGTTTAACAACCTAGATTTTTGGGACGTGTTGTGGTCGAAAGTCGAGGACTGCCTGTGTTATAAATAAGCTCATCTCATAACTTTGCTTTTACTCCGTTCTTACCTAACAGATCTCCTGTTGGTCACCAACAACCCTTACGACTACCACTATGTCTCCCAAGGAGAAGTAACAGTGGCCTCCATTGATGACTCTGAAGAGCTAATGGCTACCGATGTAAGTTGAGGTTCACCAACCTTACAGGAATAGGGAGCAAACTGTTCAACATATGTTCTCTTCACGTTTCATGGACCTTGTGTCTTTCTACTCACCTATCTCTTTTCCTCTCAGAGTGCCTTTGACGTCCTGGGCTTCACCCCCGAGGAAAAAGTGGGTGTCTACAAGCTGACGGGGGCCATCATGCACTACGGGAACATGAAGTTCAAGCAGAAGCAGCGAGAAGAACAGGCTGAGCCTGATGGGACTGAAGGTGAGTGTTGGAATTCATTGTTGGAATATATTTCTAGGCAACAACTGCAGTAATATTCAACCAGTAGATGGCAGTGTTTACAAGTTTGGATCTGTGGTACATGCTCTTTTGTTCTAAGTAGAGTTTCCTGTTTCCTATTACAGTTACAGTTCAGCAGTAAAGCACATGATGACTGTTCTCTTTGTTTGCTCTATGGTGCTATATATAAACAGCATGTCTAACAGTGGGAAAACAATATATCTTAGGATAAAGGAAAAAGGGCTGGAGAAGTTGTAGATGGAATGATAGGGTCTTTCTCAACCTTATTCTCCAATTGTGTTGCTCTACTGGTTGCAGAATTCTATTGGTGGTTGGGAATTTCAGGGGTAGAGGGAAACATTTGGGGAAGAAGACTGATAGAGAAGGTCTCCACTGAGTGTCGTGGAAGAAGAAGGCTTCTATGGAAGGAAGAGAAAATCAGAATAGGAATATCTCACAAGGCTGGAAATCTTTCTTGTTTACGTTCGCGTGAAATTTGCCAGAACCGTTTCTTCAGGGGTGGGATGCTGCCAGTATAACAACCGTTTCGGGGATCATGTGCTTTGTGTGCTCACGCACACTTCACACACATGCACGCCTGACGTGTGCTGCATGCACATGAACACCGATGCAAAAATCCTTACCTGCTATGTTACTTTGCGGGAGTAACACAGCTGAGGAGCGGCAATTCTGCTCTTCCATGCTGATCAGCTGGGACGATAAACATCAGTACAGCGCACGAGCAGGCGGGCGGGCCCATGATTGTTGGAGCAAACCGATCCTCTCCCCGCTGATCCTCGGAGCTAGGGATATGGCCAAACCGGTCGGAACCGGCCGAATCCCACCCCTGCGTTTCTTTTACTCTCCAGATGCTGATAAATCTGCTTATTTGATGGGTCTCAACTCGGCCGACTTAGTCAAGGGGCTGTGTCACCCCCGAGTGAAGGTCGGCAACGAATACGTCACCAAAGGGCAAAATGTCCAACAGGTAAGGATGCTTCCTACTGCTAGACTCAGTCGGAGATGGTCAACAGGGAAGGTCTTTGGACTTGGCCAAGCTTGTCCCAGAACTGCACATATTGGGAAAACAGCATCTGTTGAACTTCGACCTTGCAATCCTTAAAAGGGGCGCATTTCCTCAGTACAAAAGAGGGCCCTGGGGAGAATTCAGTGCAGGCAGTCCTTGACTTATGACCACAACAGAGCCCAAATTTTCCATTGTTAAGTGAGACATGTGTTAAGTGAGTTTCACCCCATTTTACGACTTTTCTTGCCACGGTCGTTAGGTCAATTCCCTGCAGTTGGTAAGTGAGTAACTTGGTTGTTCAGCGAATCTAGTCATTCCCCTTTGACTTTGCTCTTTAGAAAGTTGTGAAAGGGGAATCATGTGATGCCTCCCCCCTCCGAGACACTGCAACCGTCATAAAGGTGAACCGGTTGCCAAGCACCTGATGTTTAATCACATGAGCATGGGGAGCCGCTGCAAAGGTCGTCCCTATGAAAAAACGGTCGTAAGATCAATTTTTCAGTGCTCTTGCAGCTTTGAATGGTCACTATACAAACTGCTGTAAGTTGAGGACTACTTTTATTGGAAGATGCTATCAAAGCACCTGAAGGCAGGACAAGAAGCAACGGGTGGACACCAGTCAAGGAGAGAAGCAACCTAGAACTAAGGAGGAATTTCCCGGCAGTCAGAACAATTAAGCAGTTGTACAACTTAAAGAAGAGTTTAAAGAAGAGTGGATAACCATTTGTCTGAAGTGGTGTAGGGTTTCCTGGCTAAGTAGGGGGTTGGACTAGAAGACCTCCAAGGTCCCTCCAACTTCCTATTCTATTTATTTTATTCTATTCTATTTGTTTTATTCTATTCTATTCTATTCTATTTGTTTTATTTTATTTTATTTTATATTTTATTTTATTTTATTTTATTTTATTTTATTTTATTTTATTATTATTTTATTTTATTTTATTTTATTTTATTTTATTTTATTATTTTAT